TCTATCCCTTGTCCCTTACCTGGCAGCAGTGGGTGCTGATTTCACTGGATCACCTGGTCATTCGGCAGAGAGCATGTTGTTACTTTGATCTGTGAGCCTGACCTGCTTTTTCTTATGTGACTTAAAGAATTCAGTGGTATTTGCTTTTGTTTGTTGTTGTGTTAGCTGCTTCTTGAGATCGTGTTCGGTGCTTGGGTTTTTCGGGTGCCGATTTTTTTTTCAAGTTTTCTCTGATATTCTCTTGAGGTTTTAGAAATGTAAGGAAAATTAAATTTAATGAAAATAGTAACAATTGAGCCCGCTGCAGTGACTGTAAGAAAAGCTCTCGTAGCAATTCAGGCTGAATTTATGACATATAATGCAGGATGCTGGCTGTTTTGGCATGCTGAAAGACCTTGCAATGTCGTTGCTACAGGAGAAATGCACAATCAAATAAACAAAATCTGGATCATTTGTGCATGAGCTACCATCTTTTTTTATTTATAAACTAGTATGTGAAAACATAAGGTACCCCAACCTCAACAATTTGATGAGTCAAAAACATGCTAATCAGGCAGATACCAGACGTCACTCCAAGTTGAGTCGTAAGAGTTCTATGCTCCCTTTGTCTTCACATATGGGTGTCGTGGTGTGCGGGTTTGGGAGTGCCTGTATCTGCAGAATTGTCCCTGCTTTTTCGTTCGTGCAGATGATGTTATGCTGTGCGTGCTGGAAGCAGCTCCATAACATGCAGAACAAGTTCAACTGCCTTTGGAAAATTTCTCAGGACAGTCTCTAGTCTCTGAGCATAACTGAAGAGTATTTAAAATAAATTAGTCATGTTTCCTTCTAGAGTTCCATTTTTTAGTGTTTTAGGTACCTCAGACTAAAGCAATTCTGTCAGATTTTGAAACCTACAAACTCAAGAATAGGATAAATTCATAAGCTAATTCTTAATTTTGCACAAGATTCTGTTACTGAGAAGCTCAGAAGTTTATACCATCACATCTTTAAAAGACAGAAATCTTAAGGCTAAGAGTCGTCCTGTAATCATCATCTTGTTGCTCATGTAGTAAATACTGATTAACATTAGCAAATTTTGTTAAGAACGGAGAGAGGAAAATAAAGTATCTATGGTATGTTTGCTGTTTATTAAATCAAACTGATTATGTCCCTTTTGGCCTAATGTATTTCATCTGCAAACATTAGAATTTATCAGTATTTTAGGAGGGAAAGTGTAGGGACAATATAAATATAAGATGTAAACTATGACATTTTAGCCCGTGGTGGAGAAATCCCTAAGGGGGCTGAAAATCTGCAGGCCAGAAATGCATTCATTTGGTCTGAATTAATATTTTGAAATGGCAGTGTGTGACTTTCCACTGTAAAACTGCCTGCTTCCCTTGAACAGGAATTCTTCAGACAGCATGGTACTTGGAGCTGAAGGCGCTGCTTCCCAGATGGATTGTTTTCGTTTGTTTCCTGAGTGGGTGAAACCTTTGCAGGGTTCTCTGCCTTTAAGCGTTTAGGGAGAACAACTCCTTGCGTAGTATCCGTCCGCATTTTATCTGGCTGTGTGTGCTTAAGTTGGATGTTACGCGGCTGTGAACACCATCTGGGGCTGCAGACTGGCCTGTAATGTCTGCCCTGCCTCCCGGATCGCTGGTGGTAGGGTGTGTCTGCATGGTACACTGCATAAATCCCGTGCAAGGGCTTTACTTTTTCTTTACCTAGGCTACCAGAAGAATAATGGACCTGGTCACTGGGGTAACAGCTGTGACAGGCGGCACTGCGATCAGTGAGTTGAGGTACTTGGCCCCGGTCACTGGCACATGCAGCTCAAAAGTCTCTGAGTTAATGTGACCACTCAACTTCCAGGCTTGGCATTTGCAAATCTAAATCTGATTTTTGGAACAGACACATCCTGCAGAGTATGCAGTAGCCTATCAGCAAGGAGCTTAAGCCTGGTTGTAACTCTACAGGAAATGCTTCGGGAACTTCCATTTCATTATTGGTGTAAGACAATTGAACCGTGGGCTGTTGGTGAAGACAATTGTTGGTCTGGTTGATGACGGCACAGTGTGTTGCAGTGAGGGTATCAGGAGCTTCTGGCCAGCAGAGTGGGGTCACACCTCTGGCAGGGATCGGTCAGTCTAAACCTGCTGTGGAGCTGCGGCTGAAGACAGGGCAACTGTGTGACGTTGGCTGTGGCTCCTGTTCTGGATCCAGTCCCCAGCTGGCGCTGAGTTCTCGGCACTGGTACGCAGCTCTTCTAAATGAAAGAGGGACACGGAGAGCTGATAAGACAGGATGTGTGCTCAGGAGAGGGTGGTTATTTTATTGGTGTGGCTGAGTTTCAAGACTCTAGTTCCTTCTCTTGAACCAGCTGTTTGTAAGTACAACATGAAACTTCACCCTTTCGTTCTCTACAAGCCCGTGGTACTGACCACTGGCAGGACAGCTTGTCACAAATATCCTCATTTCAGCTGTCGCACTGGACACTTAGAGTGCGTTTTGTGTGAATTTTGGAAACTCTGAAACTGCTTTAGTGACTTAGAGTGAAGAAATGTTTCCTGCTACTGGCACCTTTTTGAGACACATTATCCGGGGAGAGTTCCCTTTCTTTATCAGGAGTACTGGTGGACACAAGACTGCAGTTCAAGATGACAGTGGGGTATGTATTCCTTACAGCTTTGCCGGTGGGCTGTTGGGCTGGCTGTTAGGCTGCTGAGTTCATGAGGCTGTTGTGCCTGGGGGGTGTTTTCCTGCTGGATGCTTTGATACTTGCTCATAAACAAGGTATTAGTGACTTACTTTGAAAATTACATTTTAAAGTGCTTAGTAAATAGATGCTTGTGTTTCAGTCAGAAATTCACGTGGAAATTATTTTCTGATATTGTGACCGATCTCGAGGTTAAGGAGTTCATCTCTGACAGTTTTGAACATTTGTAAACCCCTCTGTTGCTTCACAGGCTTACAGAACGCAGCGAGCTGAGTTCAGGAGATGGGGGTTCCCGTTAGCTGTGTTCTGTTCAGAAGCATTTGAAAACTGAAACCCAAAAGGTTTTAAATCTGATTTATCTGTAAGTGTGCTTTCATGGAATTTGACATTGTTCATCTTAACTGCAAGTTGCTCCTTGTGTTTCCAGATTGTCAGGGCTCAGCACAAAAACAAAGGTCGATGTGAAAGATGGAAGGAATTGTTTGGACGAGCTGGCTCACAGGAACATGCGGTTGGCAGCGTCTGTTCTCTCCAGCAGCACAGACAGACCTTTTTATCAATTCAGTTCTCTCTTTTTCTCTCAGGGGATTTATTTTCCTTTTCCTTTTTCTCCCTCCATCTTCCCTGTGCTGCTGTTATTTCTCCAGAGTGTGATCTCAGACCTTGTCCCCTCTTCAGCCGTTCGCAGGGACTCTTCTGCTGTTTCTCCTCCTCATTCTCAGCTACAGCAAATCTGTTCTTCACAGGTGTTCCTGTGTCCAACTGAGCTTCTCTGCTTCGTTGCTGGGGATTCCTAACTCCACAGTTAACACCCTCAGGTAAAGGGTTATTCCACAAGAACCTGTGGAACAAGTTAGCAAACCTTGAATGGAGCAGCTTTCTTCTCCTTCGTGCTGTACTTTTCGGTCTGATTTATATTGCCCAGCACAGTCTTATTTTTTTCTTAGCGAGTTAAATGAGATCATAGTTCACACAAGATCTCTTCTAGCAAGATTCCTTAAAGGAATCCTTGTGTATTTCTTCCTCAGTTTCTACCTCCTGGCATCCTTTTCTTCCTCCTTTGGCTGTGTGCTTTTAGACATTTTTACAGACTGTCTAGGGCTTAGGCAATCTCTGGAGTTCTGAAAGGGAGAGCCACGTTCATTACCTTGACTCGTTACTCTCTCTCTTTTACTCAATAACATTTGTTAACTTTTAAATTCTGAATTGATTTTACTTTGACATTGTACAACACTGTTCTGGTTTTGAATATGTGGGCAGTGAAGGCAGTAGTGTCCCATGTTTTATAGAAAGCATTCATTTCTGAGCATGTGGACATTCTTCCTAGGAAGAAGAGCAGATTAGAGAGTATTCTGAATAGCCGTCACATGTTTTCTAATTTCCTCATAATACGTTGTGCTTGCAAAATGCGAATTGCTTTCTCTGGTGGTCATCTGCACTAAGCTGATGCTTTAATTGGTGACAAAGGGCAAAGAAAAGCATGTCAGCTTGGGGGAAGCTCACGGCAGAGATGAGGAGAATGCAGCTTTGCTAATGCAAGCTTTGTGGTAGTCAGTGCAGTATGAGAAAGTGCTCAGTCACCTATGTTCAGCTAATGTTTTCTGAGCAAGATAATCAGGACAAGTTCCCTGCTGTCTCCTTTGCAGCTCCTCCATCCCACATCTTCCCATCCAGCCCTGCCTTCCCTCAGCTCTCCTCTCGCTTCAGCATCAGGCATACCTCAGTTAAAAGCAGCCCGGCCCTCATCCTGTCTTGGGCAGGCACTGTGTCATCTGGCAAGACAGAAGCTGCAACCCCCAACACTTTGGGGAGGTGGAAGAATGGAATGGCTCAGGGGCAGAGTAGGGGAGCATTCTGCAGTGCCACAGTGGGGGGGCTTTTGCGCTGCAAAAATGCCCTCTGAGCCTTCACCTACATAACGAAATAGGTGACTGAGTTGACCTGGGAGATTTCTTCTGTGAAACAGTTACTTACTGGAATGCTAATTTGCAGTTCATAGTCCTTATTTTACTTTATTCCAGATAGGAAACATTTAATTTTGTGTCTCTGTTAGTTATCGCTTCACCCAATATTCTGATGTGCTTCTCTGTTTGTAATTGTGTATTTGGAAAACATTTTTCAAGTGTTACTCTCCTTTTCAAGTATCAGTGTAGGTTGGTTGTTTTCCTTTGGCTGAGCTCCCTGGATAACTTCTTTAGTGTGCTGGTTCCCAATGGAAACATCTGTCTGCAGTATTACCTTCTAAGCCTGCATTTGGGGGTTTCTTATTTTTCTGTTTCAGGAAGAAAAAAGTCAAGAAATGTCCACCAATTTAAAATACCTTTCCTTGGGCATCCTGGTTTTCCAGACCACGAGTTTAGTCTTGACCATGCGTTACTCTCGAACGCTGAAGGAAGAAGGACCTCGCTACTTATCCTCTACTGCAGTAGTTATTGCTGAACTTCTGAAGATTTTGGCCTGTGTTCTGTTGGTCTACAAAGACAGCAGTATGTGTCACATTTTGCACCACGTAGTTTTCCTAATTGTGTTGTAGTGGCAACTGCAAGGCAGCCATGTGAGTACGGGCGTGCAGCCCGTTTCCCTTCTCGTGCCAGCAGTAGTCTTGGCAAGGCACTCACTCCGCAGCACACGGTGCAAGATACTCTATGTTTGCTGGAGAGTTCTCTTTAAAGAATGTGGATACTGAGGGGTGCAAGAATGACTTTTCCACTAACTGCCTGAAGCTTGTGTTTGCTCAGGCACTGGAAGAAATTCATACGTAGAAGTAGGAAAAAATGAAAAGCTTTAAGTGTGTCCCAAGCATGAACAATAATTAAAAGCCTGTAAGAAACAGCAGATGCAGAAGGGAGGAATTTCATGACAACACAAAGAAGCACCATTTTAAGCTCAAAAGAAGTATATTCACATTTACTGTAATTCTTATTTGGTACATTTTGTGTTGAAATTGTCTGGCTTCTTGATACATATATTTTATCTTCAACAGCTTAAAAATGTCATGTTAAATGCATAAATATTGATGACTGTAGGCTTAAATGTGCACTTTTTAGGTGACACTCCTTAGTGTATCATCTTCAAATGTTGATACAGTTTCAGTAAGTTTTACCTTAAGGATTTTGAATAATTGTTCTAGTTCTGATATTCCAGGCTACAGGAAGACACCTTGCAGCCTTTTTTTCTTACATAGGTGAGGCTCATGAAAGTCCAGCAGGCACAGGGAGTATCTTGCGGGCTGGATAGCGGTGATAGCTACACAAAGGGGGCAACAGCCTTTAAGAACAGAACATTGCTATCTCTCGCTTGTTTTTTCCTCTCCTTTTAGTGACTGTTTCTTTTATTGTTTCTCTGGGTAGAGTGCAATTTACGGACTCTGAACAGAGTGCTACATGATGAAATCCTTAATAAACCCATGGAAACTCTTAAACTTGCTATTCCTTCAGGAATTTATACTCTTCAGAATAACTTGCTGTATGTCGCGCTGTCAAACCTAGATGCAGCCACGTACCAGGTATTGTACTTTTGGGTTTCTCTAAGTTTCAAAACCCCGTGAATTATGCAGTAGTAACTGTTTCTGGGTTCTTCTAGGTTACGTATCAACTGAAAATTCTCACCACGGCATTGTTCTCTGTGTCCATGTTGAGCAAGAAATTGGGTGTGTACCAGTGGCTGTCATTAGTGATATTGATGACAGGAGTGGCGTTTGTGCAGGTAAATATTACCAGGTGCTTTTTGTTTGTTCAGTGTATTTATTCAAGGAACATGGCTTTCTGTGCTGACTGTACAGCTTCTGATTCTGGCAGCTGCACACGAGCACCAGAGTGTGCTTGGCAACCGTGGCTCACAGCTGGCCAGGGCTAGTGCACACCGGGAAGGGTTCCAGGCAGAAGAGGACCCCTCTTGTGTCCCAGAGCGCCACTGTAGGATGTGATGGGGCCTCTGGAGCGACCTGCGAATATGCATTAGCAGTCCTGACTACCACACTTCTTCCGTGCCAGCAGGCCTGCTGCTCGCCATGGTTTCAGCATGGCAAATGTACCTGAGCTGTTGCAAGAGGCAAACTTGGCCTCTCTTATAAACACTGCAGGTGCAGGAGTTTGTGGTTTTCAGAGGGCAGGATCATGGGAGAAGAGATTATTCTAAGAATTTTTAGCAGATTTTAGCAAATCCCATAGATTTTTATTTTAAAACTTAGGGATTTGAAAAAAATTCAGAGGAATAAGTTTTGTAGAATTTCCAAATTTACTAATGCCAAATGAAACCCAAATGTTCTGATAGTAATTAGCAGACTCAGTGTGTTTTTGTCTATGGCACTGCACTTTAATCTGCTAGCGTCAGCCATATTGCAGGGTTTAGCTTCATACGTGTCAGGTTGTTCCAGCTGTGAGTAGTCACTGAAGAGGGGCATGTGCCAGACAATTCATCCCGTCCTAAAGGCAGCTGCGGGAAGTGGTTTTCTAACTGTGCTGATATGTGTGAGGTAACTGATTGCTGGGGGGTACAGCCTGGTGGCTGTGAATGACTGTGACGAGTGGCATTCCTCAGGG